TTTTCTCCTGTATGAATTCGTCGGTGCCGATTTAGGTAATTCCTCCATGTAAAACTTTTTCCACAGTGATCACAGCTGTATGGTTTCTCTCCTGTATGAATTTGTCGGTGCTCAGTTAGGCTATTCTTCCAAATGAAACTTTTTCCACAGAGGTCACAGCTGTAAGGTATCTCTCCTGTGTGAATTTGTCGATGCTTGTTTAAGGACTTCTTGGTAGTGTAACTTTTTCTGCAGTAATCACAGCTGTAAGGTTGTTCTGTATGAAGTCGTCGATGCTCATTTAAGCTTCTCTTCAAAGTGAAAGTTTTTCCACAGTGATCACAGCTGTATGGTTTCTCTCCTGTATGAATTTGTCGATGCTCATTTAAGTTATTCTCCCTAGCGAAAGTTTTTCCACAGAGGTCACAGCTGTACGGTTTTTCTCCTGTATGACTTCGTCGGTGCTGATTTAAGTAACTCCTCCATGTGAAACTTTTCCCACAGTGATCGCAGCTGTATGGTTTCTCTCCTGTATGAATTCGTCGATGCTCTTTTAAGTTATTCTTCCAAATGAAGCTTTTTCCACAGAGGTCACAGTTGTAAGGTTTTTCTCCTGTATGAATTTGTCTATGCCTGTTTAGGGACCTCTTGCTGCTGAAACCTTTTCCACAGTAATCACAGCTGTGAGGTTTCTCTCCTGTATGAATTCGTTGATGCCTTTTTAAATTATTCTTCCATGTGAAACTTTTTCCACATTGATCGCAGCTGTATGGTTTCTCTCCTGTATGAATTTGTCGGTGCTTGCTTATGGAACTGTTTTCAGTGAAACTTTTTCCACAGAGGTCACAGCTGTAAGGTTTGTCTCCTGCATGAATTTGTCTATGTCTGTTTAAGGAACTCTTGCTAGTGAAACTTTTTCTGCAGGAATCACAGCTGTAAGGTTTCTCTCCTATATGAATTTGTCTATGAATTTGTCGATGCTCATTTAAGTTGTTCTCCCTGATGTCTGTTTAAGGAACTCTTGCTAGTAAAACTTTTCCTGCAGTGATCGCAACTGTATGGTTTTTCTCCTGTATGAATTTGTCGATGGTCATTTAAGTTTTTCTCCCTAGTGAAACTTTTTCCACATTGGTCACAGCTGTATTGTTTCTTTCCTCTGTGAATTTCTTGGTGATGGTTAAGGTAAGTCTTCCGTGAAAATGCTTTTCCACTCTGGTCACAGATGTATGGTCTCTCTCCAGTGTGAGATCTCAGATGACTCCTTAGATCATGTTGTGAGAGGAAGGCTTTGTCACACTGTTGACAGCGGTGGCCAGTTGTCTTTGTGTGTCTCTGTATCTATAATGACAGATGTAGAACGAAAAAGACAAATCTTATGCTAGAACGACTCATGAAGCCATATAAAGCAGGTAGCATTTTTCATGACACCCTTCAATTATCACGTCTCAGACAAAAGATCATTTCTAGAGTAGTTCACATGACATTGTTAAGTTTGCAGTGCCAGGAATTGGACATCAGATGTCAAAGTAGTGGGTCTAAAGCATCAGTTTAAAGTTTGCAGCATGGTCTGACTGTTTAAAACGTGACACCAGGTAAATTTG